TTTGTAACTCTTCAACTGTTCTGGCATATTACTTGCAGAAAGCAATCCAGAGGTACAATTAAAACCCATCTCTGCTGTCAGTTCCACAAACAAGCAAAACTTCTAGCATGGATTTATGACGCTTATAAATATCAAAGTGGCTCAGGGACTCTAGTTCCTAAAAAAAGAATGCAAAGGCTACATTTTTAGTAACATCTGCTGGACAAGCATAAAAGATGACATTAGTCATATTGCTAACTTCTACGATGAATAATGCACTGTCAAAGCAGAGCTGATTGGCTGTGAATTAAAATAATGCCGATGTGCATATAAACCACACTTATTTTAAAAGATTTCAATGGTTGCTAAAGTTGCAGAAATATTTGTTTATAACTTTTATTTTATATTTTACCTCTCCGATTGAGCCAGAATGGCAGGAGATGGAAATGTTAATTCAAATGTTTGCTATCACTAACAGCTGTATTAGACAGTCAGATTCTTATTTTTAATTGGCATATTTTCTCTCATAGTTTTAAAAGAATTATTGCAATAAACAATAGAAAATAATTTGATTTGGACTTGGAAAGAGGCAGATTTGCATAGCACTGGCAAAGTGTTAGTGCCCCAAAACATGTCTCCTATTTACAGAGGCTAGTATCTGACTAATCCCTCTTTTTTGCTTTCCTCATCTTAAAAATGTACTACTAGAGCCCAGCCAGTGAGGTTCAGTGGTTGAGGATTGACCTATGAACCAGGAGGTCACGATTCAATTCCCGGTCCGGGCACTGGAGGCAGCTGATCAATGATTCTCTCCTATCATTGATGTTTCTCTCTCTCCCTCTCCCTTTCTCTCTGAAATCAATTAAAATATATTTTTTTAAAAAAATGTACTACTGGAGAAGTAGTTTATAAGACTGATTCACATTAAATTATTAGTGGTGTATATGATTTATTCCCCTCATGAAATCAGGCCTCCTGAAGCACTGTGTATCTTGAGAATAGAGGACAAGTTCTCCATAAGATATTCAGCAATAGTTAAAGTATTTCTCTTTTTGTTAGGAGACACACAAGGGACCCTCCAGAGGTCGGACTTATCCTCTCCACTGAAATGCTCTGAGCTGATTTCACTATAGATGTCACATGGAATGCAGCAGACTTCTGAGCCCCCAGGCATTACATTGGAAATGCCCAGACTCAACCTGGCTTTGTCCTTCTCTTCCTTCAGAGCTAGGAGTCTGTGAAGCATTCAGATTTACTGGCTTCTTTCCTTAAATCCATAGATAGTGAATATTGAATGCAGAGCAGTCAAAAAATTTTCCCTTCAAAATAATGCTGAATTAATTCTAAACTCTATTAGTGGAGTAACCATGCCCATTTCAGCCTATGTTAAGTATTACTTAACAGAGTTCTTAATATACAAACTTGGAAGGTACTCAAGAAATACGTATGGATAGGAGGATGGAGGAAGGTAAGAAAAAAGTTTATAGGTTTTGTATTTTTGTTTTTATTTTTCCTAATGTTAGATAGATAATTACTTAGGAAACCCTTTTTCTAACCTCCCATTTTTTGACACTTTTGTGTAGCAGAAATGTTTGGAACTAAAAGCTAAAACAGAATTTAAAACATAGTAAACTTAATAGTCCATAAAACCACACTACCCAATTGTATACAAGAATCAAACCAAGGTTGCAGGCATGAAAGTGTGGCAAATGCATTAATTCAAAAATATTTCCAGTTGGAGATTTTGATCAAATATTTTGACATTTACTTAATTGCAAAAGCTCAGTGAAAATAGTATTAGCACACGTGCTATGTATCACACAGTTTGGAAGACGAATGCTGAACTGAACGCCTGGGCAGATTCTACAGGGTCAAAGCTCTAGAGACAATGACATGAAGGGCAGGGCAGAATGAGCAACCATTTATAGAAGCGCATTCAATTCATGGTTCCGCAGTACATTTTGGGAAAAGAATGCTGAGATGTGATCACCTCCTTTGGGTTTGCCAAAGGGGTGGAGAGAATATAAATAAGATAGAGTAAAATCACAGAAGAGAAGCAATTGTTGGCTTCCTTTTATAGCAGTAAAAGATATTTATGTTTAAGTATTAATGAAAACTGCCCAACAAAGTCTTGTAGTGGCACATAGGCAGTCAAGGTTACACTATTTAAACTTTGTGTGTGGATGGTGAGGTGGGGGTGGGGGTGAGGTGGGGGAAGGACACTATATTACTTATTTCCAATTAGGTAGATATTGCATAATATTTACTGAAGGACCATAAGCAAATTCAAAATGTATATTCATAGTCCTTTTCTTCTTGCATCTAGGAGTAGGTCTTGGGGTAGTAATTTAAAAAAAAATATGTAATCCTGCCCAGCCAGCATGGCTCAGGGGTTGAGTATCAACCTATGAACCAGGAGGTCACAGTTCGATTCCCAGTCAGGGCACATGCCCTGGTTGCAGGCTCCATCCCCAGTGTGGGGCATGCAGGAGGCAGCTGATCAATGATTCTCTCTCATCATTGATATTTCTATCTTTCTCTCCCTCTCCCTTCCTCTCCAAAATCAATAAAACAATATTTAAAAATATATGTAATCCAATAAAAGAGGAACACTGAAAGGATTAAAATGTCTAATATTACTAAGCTTTTCCCCCCAGCTACAGAGAGTACTCTGGATACAATGAATGAAGTTATATATTTTATTAGCCCCAAACACAATTCGTCAAGTCAGAGTAAATGGGAGATCATCCTCTGCTTCAGATAGTTTTGGTTAACAGACCACTTAATGGGTCGATTTAAAGGATTTTAGCACATCTGAAGAAATACCAGAACATTAACATTAGCTGCTTTCTCATAAAATAAGTTTATACAAAAAAAAGAAAAGTTTTTACTGCTTCCCATTTTATTTCACAGAACTTTCTAATTTCCGCTGGTATAAATCAATTTGGATTTATTAGCTTTGTACGAAAGAACTCCAGTAGGTTTTTAATAATAATTATCGTTATCACTGATTAAAGTTATATTGTTCAGGCCAGATGGAGTCCTTTTCCTGTCAGCTAGAATGAGCTTGATTATGTAGTTATAATGTGTTTAGATCTAAATAAACAGATGGCCCAGTGACAGGATATTATACGCTGGTGATGTCAGCAGCAGCGCTTCACAAACAGAATTGCTTTAAATAAACTCTGGATCCTGGCACTTTTAAGAAGGTGACTGGAGTTGAGCCTAAGTGTTGTATTAACTTGATTAGTACTGTTCACTTGCAGAAGGGTCAACCATGAGGCCGGTCTGAGGTTTGGTCTAAAAAGTGTGTCTGCTGAACCTGTTCCTTAACTGTGAAAGCATTTAACTTAATACACATACTCAGTATCATAAGGAGAGAGAGAAAGAGAGAGAAGCTGCCCTAGTGTAAGAACTTCCAAGTTGAAGAGGTAAAAACTGTGGATCAAGAAAAGATGGAAACTTTGATAGAACCCCATTCCATAATTTTTACAACATGTTATAATAAAAGTCTTGACTAGCCATATACCCACTTGCAGTTGATATTAGAACATTAACAGAGCTTTCATCTTTAATCATTTTTCATGTCTACTATTTATTCTAAAAATAAGCCCACTCCATACCCTTGTACCAACAAAAATGTAGAGTGAGCCTATAAAATTCAGAAACAAACTTCAAAGAAAGTCATTATGTACAATTGCTTTAGCTAATGTTCTTTTGTTGAGTCCTTATGGGACTTTCTCTGTGGGACAACTGTATTTGCTGAGGCAAATATCCATGGTAGCATAGTCATCAAGAGGAAGATGCCACTGCAGGAGATAAAGGCTGCTATTTGAAAATGAAGGTAGTAACAATAACAATTTTAGAGGAGGATATCAAATAATGAAATTAAGATTTCAAAAAAAAGCTGTTTAAATGCTTAAAATTTATATATGAAGCCCAGACAGAACTAAGAGGTTACCAGTTCAATTCCCAGTCAGGGAATGTGCCCAGGTTACAAGCTTTATCCCCAGTAGGGGGCATGCAGGAGGCATCTGATTAATGATTATCTCTCATCATTGATGTGTCTATCTCTCTCTCCCTCCTGCTTCCTCTCTCCAATCAATAAAAATATATTTTTTAAAATTTATATTAAGATACTGGTTCATACATTGGCCCTGTACACTGAGGGCAAGGAGAGATGGAAGAAAGAGGCAGACAACTCCAGATTTGTAGGTGGCAGGTTTAATAAGCCAGGGAATTGATATATGAAGCTTGTCTTTGGCCACAAGATGAGTAGACTTCCACACACTCCCACTAGAATCTTAAAAGTTCATATAGAGGCCTTAATGGGTTCAGTCATGTATTCAGTCCAGATGTTCTCAACAACACCTACTCTCTCTAGGCTACACCCTTGTAACAACCGCTAGCTTGGGAACATCAGCCAGGATGTACATTCCAAGGACAGGGGCGAAGTGAGGGTGTTCTAATTGCCCAGGTCCAGCTCAAGGTTCAAGTGATGGTCAAGTCCTTTTGACAATTTCCTACAATTAAAGATAATCTAAATGATGTATGCAACCTTTTATTCTGATTGTTTGTTATGTGTTTATAAGAACATATTCTTGTTTTCATAGACTTTAACTTAAGTGTTGACTTAATCCTTAATAACTGTTGGTATCAGTAAGCCATGCACTTTAGAAATTATATCCAATACAATAGGTCATAAGCATAAAACTGTTCAGTAATCAAAGTAAAATGTATTTAATGTAAATATTTCCTCCTTACTAGCTGGTAAAATGCATAAACTCATTGATTTCCTTTTTTATAAAATGATTAGAAGATTTTGAATATGAAGAGATTGTTTTTCACGTCACATGCATTTGACATTCAGGTTTTGTTACTTAAGCAAGCGTTTTAGGAGCTATGCTTCAACTCTAGTATGACTAAAAAATCCTCATAAAGGAGCAAAAATATTTCATTAGGGGAGATAAAGTCAAAGAATGAGAGGTTATAATGTGAATGTGTTTTTGCCTCTTCTGTAGGTGGACGTTGCCATAAGTCCTGTACCGGCCGATGCTGGGGACCCACAGAAAATCATTGCCAGACTTGTAAGTGCTCAACTAGTAGAGAGCATAGACTTGAAATGGTCAAGTCATTTTAATAATTGATGATTTTCAGCTGTCTGGGGATAAGAAACATGAAAATGAGTTTTTGCTTCCTTGTGGTGTATGTATCTGTCCCATCTTCCACTCAAAGGTTAGCAGGCTTTGCAATGCACCTTGATTTTTTCACTTCGTGCATATGTGCATGCATTTATTTGTGGGGATAATTCCTAGAAGTGGCCATTGCAGGGTCAAGGATATGTGTGTAAGAAATTTGATAGAAATCACCAACATGGAGATGTTGTTCTCTATAAAGTTTGTAGCAATTTCCTCTGCCAAGAGCAATGCATGTACGTGCCTGTTTCCCTATTCCCTGGGCAAAGCAGTATGATATCAAATCTGGGTCTTTGAAAAAAGGTTAGAAGAAGCATAGTATATCAGAGTAGACTTAAATTAACTTATTTCATAAAAACAATGTTTTAGGGCAAAGTATTGACAAGAATTTTAAGCAGGACTTTAAGATTGGATTACTGTTTGAAATAAGTATACTACCTATAATATTTTAGACAGTGTTTTAATAGCATCCTACCAAGGTACAGGAGAGCCTGATTCCACTCTCACAGAATGAAGAGTAATGATTCAGAACAAAATGTTAACAGAACTGAAGGTTAAGAGATCCTGTAATAAGAGTAGATATTGACTCAGGCTAGACCAATAGGATTCTCTCCCTAGACAATTTGGACTTGGGATCCAGATGCTGGTGGCACAGCCTTAGAAACTTGAACTTGAAGAGATGTTAAACCTAGTAGAGGTTTATATTTTAAACCATGTGTTAATGAGAAACAGAAATGGCCAGTCTTCAGTGACTCAGAAGAATAAATCAGCCATACAGAAGCTAACAGAATGAGAGAAAGAGAGAGAGAGACAGAGAGAGAGAGAGAGAGAGAGAGAGAGAGAGAGAGAGAGAGAGAGAGATTTCTCTGACCTTCATGTGGTTCAGCTGCACTCTATTCTTGATGCCTTAAGAAACAGTGCTTTTCTAGTTCATTTAAATGACTTGCCATGAAGTGGGGATGAGAATGAGTCTTGTAAGAAAAGCATCACACCATAGCTCATGTATGAAATCATCAGCCAAGAAGTCATTTAATCCACCTAATTTTTCAGCATAGACATTAACTTTACTATATAACCTAAAATTTAATGGTCAGTGTGCCTACTCCACAGAATCAATAAAATTTTTAAATATATTTTATTGATTTCATATAGAGAGATAGAAACATTAATGATGAGAGAGAATCATTGATCGGCTGCCTCCTGCATGCCCCACACTGGGGATGGAGCCCACAACCTGGGCATGTGCCCAGACTTGGAATAAAACCGTGACTTCCTGGTTCATTAGGTCAACACTCAACATGGAGCCACACCAGCCAGGCAGAATCAATAAAATTAAATTCAATAGACATTTATATGTATTTGATATGTACAAGTCTAAATTTTGGATTAGTTTTCATTCACATAGATCTGTATAGTGTATAAAACATTTTCATTTTAAAATTTGTTTTTACAATATTCTTATGAGTTAAAAAGGCTTAGTTATCATTAACCTCTTTTTAACAATTGGGGAAATATAAGCTGAGAAAATTATTCAAGGAGATGTTAAATTTACACACTGTTTCCTGTACACCATATTGCATAGCACAACTTAGTGGGAGAAGACATTAGATTTCAAGTCAGACAAATGAAACAAACCCCAGTTGTTTCCACTTCCTAGCATGAAAAAGTGACTTAATCTTTTTAAATCTCAGTTACCAAATCTATAAAATAGAAATAATTGCACTTTGCTCAGAAGAAGTTGGCTCTATTGGAATCCAATCCAATCCAGTAATGTAGTTGAAATGCTTTAATATTTTTGGCATATACTAAGGACCTAATAAAGAATAGCTAATATTATCATAAACTGAAGGAGAGACTCTTAGAAAACATAATCTTACTTAAATGTGAATGAATGGAAAAGCTCCTGGAGCCCAGTCCCCCCTTGTGAAGGCTCCTGACCATTGTGGCTGGGAAAAGAAGAGCCCAGGATTGAAGAGGAGGCTCCTGAAGTGGAGGCTGGTTGCCCTTGACATTTATTCTTGCTCTCTCTCTCCTAGTTTGAGTTACTTGAAAGGGAAATTGCTCATCCATATTTAAAGAGCCCAATATCCTGAGGCAAAATGTATTTTGCAACTACTCAAAGATATACATACTTATTGTAGAACCTGCATTTTAGAAATATGGTCATATATTTTTGAGAATTAGATCTCATGAGAGATTCCATAGAGACATGAGACCTCCAGAGTTCCATAGAGATGTAACATACATGAGCAAAAAAAAAATTTAATGTGAAATATCTAGACTTATTTTAGATTTTTGATGATCCTTCTGTTAATTAAACTGTTTCTTCTCCTTAGGCCTACTTGAGACGCACTATCTCTGAATCCTAATTGACCGTTTAAGAAATTCGAAAGCATACATTGTGCAAGTTTTTGAAAATATTGAGCTCTTGTTGATTGACCACACAAAAGTACATTGTAACATTTGAAAGACATAGTCTTATATTATTCAGAAATGACTTTTTTTTTAATCTTCACCCAAGGGTGTGTGTATATATATACACACACACACACTAATAAAAGAGAAAGATGCAAATTGACCATCCATCCATGATACCCACAAGCCATGCCCACCAGACAATCAGAAGTGAGTATGCAATTAACTTGACAAAGATGGCGGGTTAATTTGCATATTCAGGTGTCAAGTGCCCTGGGAGGCAGCAGCAGCCACGGGCTCCCAGGACCATCGCAGGCCTGGGAGGTGAGGCCGGCCGAGCCTAGCCACACCCGCGGCCTCCCGGGACCTTCACCAGCAGAGTGCAGAGCAGGAGAGAAGGCAGAGAGCGGGAGGTTTGGAGGACTTGGCAGAGCAGGAGGCCGCTGGACATAGAGCAGAGTGAGAGAGAGGGTGGCTTGGAGGGCATGGCTCCCTCTGTCAACCCAGCTTCTTCATCATAGCTGTGGAAACTGACCGCAGGGAGGAGGAAGTCCCACCCCCACAGAATCATTTTTTTCATTGATTTTCAGAGAGAGGGAAAGACAGAGAGAAACACCAAAGTGAGAGAAACACATCAGTTGGTTGCCTCCTGCATGAGCTCTGACCAGGGCCCGGGCCTGGGAGGAGCCTGCGACCTAGGTACATGCCCTTGTGCCCTTAACCAGAATTGAACCCAGGACCTTTCGGTCCATAGGCCAAGGCTCTATCCACTGAGCCAAATTGGCTAGGGCATGATTTCTTTTCTTAATGACCAAAATACATTCAGGGCTTCTCTGGGATATTCAACTTCATGATTTGCCAAGTATTTTCTTATTTTTTAATGGATAATTATTCTTTGAGACTCTTAATACATTAGGAAAGAATAGTAAAGGTACTTAAAATCCCCACACTTCCACTAAGGAATCCAATGTTAAGAATTGTGTTCATTCACCACATCTTATCAATGCTGACATCTTCCCGCAGGTGTCGCCTCCAAAACAGCATAGGTGCCAGGAATTATCCCCAGTAAGAGTAAATAGTGAGAAATGGGAGGAAAGAGAAATTATTCAGGCTCTGGAAGAACTAATCTGTGATAATGAATGACTTGTAAGGGTGAAATAAAGCAAAGAGAGGTGATCAGTAAGAGATATCTCTGAATAGAGATATGGGAAAATAAAAATGCGGTAACAATGGTAAGCTTGAAGGAAAGTCTGCAAGGGGCAGAAGTTTGTTTAAATGTTAGTTTTTAATTACAGTTTACATTCAGTACTACTTTGTAGGAGTTTAAAGTGTACAGCATAGTGGATAGACAATCATGTATGTTACAAAGTCCCCCCCCCTTCCATATCTCAAGTACCCACTGGCACTGGATATACCCATTACAATACCATTGACTATATTTCCCATAATGTACCTCACATTCCCATGACTATTTTTTTAATACTAATTTGTACTTTTTAATCCATTCACCCTTTTTGGGTGAATGGATTAAAAACTCTTCCAAACCTCACCCCTCTGGCAACCATCAGTCTGCTTTTTGTGTCTGTGAATTTGTTTGTTTGTTTGTTTGTCTGTTTTGCTCTTTAGATTTCACATAGAAGTAAAATTATATGGATGGATCTAGAGGGTATTATGCCAAGTGAAATAGAGAAAGGGACAAAAGTTTTAAAATAACAAATGAAAAAGAATAGATTTAGTGAAATGAGAGTATGAATAAATTGACAACTTACTATGGACAACAACTTATACATGCCTATAGAAATTTTAATAAAGTTTTGTAAATTTTGTTAAATTTAGTAACATGTTGAGACTTATTTTGTATACTGGTTTGTGTGCTATATTTAGATTTCATTGCATGTAGAATAATTTAAGTTTGTTATTGTTCTTCTATGGTTTTATATAATGTTCAGCCTACTAACTGCAGCACTAGCATCTATTTTTAAACGTTTTTCTAAACGTTTTTCTAAACGTTATTTTTATAAATACATTTCTAATGGAAAAACCTTAGAAAACCGAAAGAATTTTATAAATATTAAAGTAAGAAAATCATGCTTATAGAATCTAGCCACGTGTTGTTACTGTTTTACTTCATGATTCTGATTTTCTAAAGTGACTTGAATTTATTCTCCTTAAATTCTTTCTGATGTTACAGCATCATGGCCCTAAAAACCTAACAAGACTCCTTACGTAATTGCAATAGGTCAACATAGAGCTCATGATTCGGTACTGAGAGCTGCATTACATGTAGAGAAGTGACTCAGGCTTGAAAGATCTTATAAGCTCAGTTAAATCATGGCCGCATTACTCCACAACACAGCTTAACCTTAAGTAAATTGATTTGGTGGATTAATATAGTCATGTCAGGGGAGACAAACTTATCTGCTATGTCAAGTCTGAAGCTTATAGAATTGTATTTAGCAGGCTTACTGGTCAGAATG